GAAGGATCCAACTATACAAAACAATTGTTTTAAAAATGACATAAAACGAAATTCCAATACTTCTTCACAAAATTTAAAAATCAATCTAAAACGACATAATATATGAAAATGAATCCAAAACCACATTATTTAGATTTTTTTACCACCAATACTCGACGAAGTCAATTTAGTTTTAATTTGGATCCTTCTCTTCCAATGTTCAATGATTTTGAATTTGTCGACGATGATAAGCTTTACGACGACTGTATTTGCTAATAGCCTTAATATACACGTGTACGGAGAAGATTAATTTAAATATCAGAGAGTCAGTCATTTGATAAGATCAAAGCCGTTTAAATCTGCTGACGTGTATTACAACCACGTTTTACATCACGTGACCGTGTCTTAACGAGACCACCACCAGACCGTGAACGGATTCGGAGCTTTTTTTTTTTTTTTTGGCCGTCGCTTTCTCCTCCTCCTCCTCCGGCTTCGTTGCTTTTAGCTTCTCTTGCATATTTCCTTTTTTCGATAAACCCCAAATCAAGTAAGAATCTGAGAATCGAGAGGCCCCATTGGCTAGAGTTTCTTGAGGAATCAAAAAGCCCTAAATTGATCGTGACTTCGAGGAGGAAGCGTATGAATTGTGGGCTTACACTCTAGATTTATCCGAGGTGGGTTCGCTGAGATCATCTGATCAAATGCGCTTCGTGACAAAAACAGCTGTTTTGTAGTTAATTTCGTGTATGCGTTTTGGAATGTTTTTCCGATTGATTGAGGTGATTGATTAGTCTCTGTGTTAGTATTATGTTCAAAACATTTGGATTAGCTTTGAGATTGATCAATGAAGCAGTAGAGATCGTATAGGCAAAACCGTAGTCATGTCTTTTTTTGTCCTTTTTAATATTTGGGAATTGTTTTCTGATCTGTATCAAACCTAACTACCAACTACCTTGAGCTGAATTGCAAATTAAGTTTGCATTGAACTCAATACTTTGCAATCTCATATAATGGGGATCAGTCTAATCTCTTGAATGAATCTGTAGACAAATACTGGTCAGTGACAAGGTAGAGGAATGTCTGATATGTCGAGCAAAACCCGGAATATGCTGGAAGGTTTGGTTAAAGATACTTCTTTTAAATGGTTGCTCGGAAAGCAAAGTTCTTTTGACGAAGAGATCGAGGAAATGGGAAAATCCCCATCTGCTGGGACCAATTGGATACCTGAGCTTTCTCCTCTCGCCAATGTGATTGTCCGCAGGTGTTCAAAGTAAGTGTTTTTTCATCGATAAGTAATCAGTTTTCAGAATGAAATTTCAGAGCTAGTAACTTGTTTGAATAGTGTAGGCTTTGATCAAGATAAGCTAGCTTTCGGTGTTTTGATTCGCGTATTGTCAAAGAATGCATCTAGTAATAGTTTTCCACAACAAGTAGCTCTAACTAGCTAGGGATTTACAAAAAGTTTGGTTACTGATCAAGAAATAATACCATTTGATTTTGTGGTCCACGTTTAGCCCATATTGTAATGCAGATTGAGGTTATTGATCTGTCTTTATATACCATTGATGCAGAATACTTGGGGTTTCTTCAAACGAGCTGCGAGATAGTTTCAAACATGAGGCATTTGAATCTCTAAAGCAGCCCTCTCTATTTGCAAGGAACTTTCTAGAGTACTGTTGTTTCAGGGCACTTTCACTGTCTGTGGGAGTAACAGGTCATCTAGCCGATAAAAAGTTTCGGCGCTTAACCTTTGATATGATGGTTGTCTGGGAAGTCCCAGCTGTTGCTAGCCAGGCTTTACTTAGTGTAAGGCTCCTTTTTTTCATTTTGTTCTGCAACCAGTGTAAGAATCTTTCCTTATCATTTTTCTTCACTGAAACAGGTAGATGAAGATGCAACGGTGAGTTTAGAAGCTTTCTCACGGATCGCACCAGCAATTCCGATAATAGCTGATGTAATCATATGTGAAAATCTGTTCGAAATGCTTACCTCATCAACGAGTGGTCGGCTTCGGTTCTCTGTTTATGACATGTATTTATATGGGCTTGAGAGGTAAATTTTCTATTTTTAGAAGCCGAACTCCTTTGTCTGGAATCACTGTATAGACAGCTTTTTTGTCTTTGTTTATAGAGCGATAAAGAAGATGAGGACTCAGTCCGAATCATCTCTGCTTTCTGGTGTCCGTTCAAAAAGAGAGAAGATTTTGGAGATAGACGGGACAGTTACTACCCAACCAGTTCTCGAACATGTTGGAATATCAACATGGCCAGGTATTGTTTGTAATTTCTCAATAGTAGCGGTCTTGGTATGTGTACGTAGTGCTCACTTTTGCCATGATACTGTTCAGGTCGCTTGATCCTGACGGACCATTCACTATATTTTGAGGCCTTAAAAGTCGTGTCTTACGACAAACCAAAGCGATATGACCTATCTGAAGATCTAAAGCAAATTGTTAAACCTGAGTTAACTGGTCCTTGGGGCACTCGGCTTTTTGACAAGGCCGTTTCTTACAAGTCTATATCTCTGTAAGACCTTGTCTTTTTGCATTGAATCGATTATAATCTCTTGTACAAACTGAAAAGATCTCTGTTTTGTGAATGATCTATTAATAGGTTTTAATGGCTGTCTGTTGTAGATCAGAACCAGTGGTAATGGAATTCCCAGAGCTTAAAGGTCACACACGCCGTGATTACTGGCTCACTATTATACGAGAAGTGTTATACGTTCACAGTTATATAAACAAATACAAGATCACCGGTTTGGCAAGAGACGAAGCAATCTCAAAGGCTGTCCTTGGCATTATACGTGTGCAAGCTATACAAGAACTAAGTTTGACAAACACAATGCGTTACGAAAATCTTCTCCCGTTCAATCTCTGCGATCAGCTTCCTGGTGGAGATTTGATTCTTGAGACGCTTGCAGAGATGTCCACTTCAAGAGAGCGCAATCGATCAAATAGATCCAAAGATACAGGTTATACTACTACTTATGAAAAGTAATTTATTTCTTGATTTTGACCAAGAGTGTGATGATTGAAAGCGATGTACATTATATGATTATAAGATGAAATCTGCGAGGAAGTTAATGTCTAATGTATATGTAATTTATTTACCAGGGAAGTTACACTCCACGGCTTCGGATATGGTTTCGCAGCTGGGTTCTGTGTTTGGAGGATCGAGTCCAAGGAGCAGAACGATTGAGACGAGTACTCTTGTGGTAGGTGAAGTAGTGGTTGGAGATGTGAATCCATTAGAGAGAGCAGTGAAGGAGTCGCGTAAGAACTACGAGAAGGTAGTGCTTGCGCAAGAAACGATTAATGGAGTCAAAATGGATGGTGTTGACACCAACTTAGCCGTAATGAAGGTAAAAATAAATGCATGAAAACCAAATTTTGATGGGAAGATATTTAAACTGTGTTCTATAAAACACTAAAACTGCGTTTATTTCTTTTCTTTTCTTTTCAGGAACTGATGCTTCCAATAATGGAAACCGGGAACTTGATTATGTCTCTGATATATTGGGATGATCCTATGAAGTCTACTATTTTCTGTCTCTTGTCCAGTTTCATAATTTGGAGGGGATTGCTTGTTTATGTCTTTGCTCTCGCGTCTCTCTTCTCTGCAATCTTCATGGTTCTAACAAGATGTTTCAGCCGAGAAAAGTTCATGATCGAGCTGAAAGTAACCGCTCCTCCTCCAATGAACACAATGGAACAGCTTTTGGCTGTCCAGAACGGGATCTCGGAGCTCGAACAGAACATTCAAGACGCAAACATCGTTCTCCTCAAGTTCCGAGCTTTACTATTCTCCCTTTTCCCTCAGGTCTGCCTACCTTCTTATTTTTAACACAAAACGCTTCTCCTACCGTTGTGTTTAATAAAAAAAAAACTGCTATTTCAGGCGAGTGAGAAGTTTGCGATTGCGATGGTGATTGCAGCTATGATGATGGCCTTTGTTCCGGGACGCTACTTGCTTCTGATATTGTTTGTGGAGCTTTTCACAAGATACTCGCCACCACGGAAAGCGAGCACCGAGCGGTTGATGAGGCGGTTGAAAGAGTGGTGGTTTAGTATACCGGCGGCTCCTGTAATCCTCCAACATGACAAGAACGATAAGAAGAAGAAAAAATGAGGAAACGGCCGTTTCTATAGTTGCACAGCAGAGACATACATACTAACTACCT